TTACCACAAAATTTGAACAGTAGGTGATCAATAAAATTTTCTTTAAGGAAAGATATATCTGTCAGCACCAAAATTTGACAGAATCCTCCTAATATTTGTTTTGAAGAGAAAATTAGGGCCTATTCTTTATCCTTTTATCATCATCATCATCATCATTATTATTCATTGTTATTATTAGTATGCAGTTGCTCCCAAGGACCAAAAAAAAAAAATTACTTTACCTGGCCTACATAACTAGTAAGTTGTTCTTTTATTTGCTTTTCTGATGAAAAAGGTGGAGAAACAAAGGTTTAGAAGTTTCATGAAAGTTCATAAATGTGTACTTACTCTTTATGAGAATTTACCAATAAGCAAGAAAAAGCTGGTGCCAGCCAAGAGAGTGTGGTTAATCTGACAACCATTCCATGATGTCAGTCTCCAGAGGGGGTGGGTGCAAACTCTGAGTTCCTCAACAGGTGTCAGCCAAAAGAACTGGGCTGGTGTGGCCATTAACCACCAATGAAACTGTAACCTTTCTTAGACCTACCTCTGGTTTTCCAGGTTCCCATCTCAGGTTGCTTATCTATTTGCTTTAAAATATTAAACTCTTTGATATTTTAAAAAATGAATCTGTAGGAAGTGTTGATAGGAGACTTGACAATGTTACTTCCTCAGAAGTCTTTTATGCTTACCTTATTAACCAAGACAAAGTGCAGCTCAAATTTTTTAGCTTTCATGCATAAAAATTTGAGGCCGTGATTGAATTTTAACTAAGGCAATTGGATTCTTTTCCATCCTAATGATAAAAGTAGAGTTTCTTGTTTGCTTGAACCAAGTGATGAAGAGGACATGAGAATTCAGGGAAGATGGAAGGATGGTTCTTCCAGGATCACCTGGGACTCATTCAAAAGAAGAGCAATGAACTTGATGACTAATCTATAATTTTTATCTTTGTCTAGAAACTGATTTCTTCATATAATGGGCTGTTAATCTATTTAAAAAGACTCACTGCCTCCCAAATCTTAAGTACATAAAAGCATTCAAATCAATGAAGCAGACTGATTTTAACAGCAGTATGGCAACAGTAGATTACTGTACAGATTTCCTTTACACATATACAGAGAGAGCAAGAACTTGCTTGGAATTTGGTATAAAACACATACCAAACATCCTTTAGATACCATTTTTTAAAGTTTTTATTTTTAATGTATATTTTTAAGTACAGTGCTTCTAATGGCTGGTTCTAGAATGTGTGTTTGTGAAATCCATGTTTGCTATTCTGTTGTAATTTATAAGCATGGAATTACTTAAGAATTATAAAATTAAATGTTAAGGAAAGGAACTAACATTTATTGTAGAGCTGTAGTCAAATGTTGTACTGATGCCTCACTTGAAATTCCCACTAAATTGATTTTTGTTATTTTACAGGAAATAGTGGGACAACAGTGTTACATAACTTACCCAAGGATTCAAGGTAGATGTGCTGTGGAGATAGAATTCTTATTAACACCTTACAAGACAACCATGACCCAGTGTCCAGAGTTTCCCTGAAACAATTCTAGTCCAACATTTACCAGATTAAACTCAAAATACTTTTCTCTATTGCTATTTATTGTTAATTATTTTCTATATCAGGTTGACCCTTGTGACAGAGAGGTTTCTTGTGATTTTAAAGGACAGCTCCTGATTTTCTTTCCTTTGGGATGTGAGGACTGAGATCAACTCTAGTGTGTGTTGTTGTATGAACACATGGAACTTAGTCTGCATTCGGCATTTGAGGGTCCTTTCTGTGCCATTCAACTGCTAGTGAATGGCCTGAATGTGGACCAATGCAAAGGCAGACTTAGCCCTTTGGGTTTTGCTTTGGTTTAGGTTTAAGTGACTTCAGGGGAGAATTAAATCGTAACTTGTTGAAATATGCATCTCTTTTTCAACTTGAAAGTTCCAACTTTCTCCACCAAATGATTTTTTTTCCATCTACAGAAGTTAATAGAAATGAGGGAAATTATTAGACTCCATGCCCATGTTCTCCCTTATTTCCTAAGGGTGTGGATGCAAAGGTTCTTTGGCAAATAGGAAGATGAAAAGCGAACTTTTTTCCTTACTTTCCCCACATCCCTATCTGTGACCCTTTTAAAGAAGGTGACATTCCTGGGCTGGAAGCTCTGCCTGGTTGCCAGCCTCTTGGTGGAGTCCCCTCTGACCTCCTCAATGGTGTCTTCTTTCCTACCAGATGTTGTTGGACTTGGCCTTTTGCTTATTATACAACACCATGAACTCAGATAGGACTTCCTAATAGGTAAAGGAGGGTGCTAGTGGCCAATAGCTGCTTGGTGCTGCTCAAAGAGTTAAGTGACTATGTATGTTTAGGATTAGGATTTTGCCTGCACCTAGGAAACATTAGATTTTCATTTACCCCTGAAAGTAAGCAAGGTCTTCACTACATTGTGTTGGGAACTCACCAGATGACCCTGCTGTTCCAGGGATCTAGTGCATTCTACAAGTCTTTCTCTGCTACCTCACTATAGCTCACACAAGTAAATTACCTGAAAGTTGGGGGTATTTACTTAACTTTGCATTTGAAAAAAGAACAGAATTAAAGACAAATGCTCTTACCACAACTTGATTATGTTCACTTCTTACCCAGAAAAGCAGTGCAGCTGGACTTAGAGAATAGAATGTGACTTTAATTGTGTTTCGGAAAACCAATTTTAGTAACTTAGATTTTAGGTTTGTAAACCAACAGGACTTTAACCTCTGGGGATTGCTATATAGAATTTCATGCTGTGGGTGTCAGAATGCAGCACCCCCGTTTTGCTCACAATGCACACTACATTTATTTGTCTCATGGTCCATAATTTCTAGGTTGGGAATTGGGAGAAGATACTTACTGCAGGCCTATCAGATTTCTTCTCTTTTAGTTTAACCTAATGTACCAAAATGAACTTTGAAATATCAGAACTAAAATTATAATTGATATAAACCGTCTATGTACACTGGCTTATTAAGAATTCACTGAGAGTTACAAATTATAATTTAAAATATTGATCAGATTTATTTTTAATTTTCATTTATTGCTTTGCATTAAAACTAAATTTTATTTTATTTTAATATTTATTTTTTAGTTGTAGTTGGACATAATACCTTTGTTTCACTTATTTATTTTTATGTGGGGCTGAGGATCGAACCCAGAGTCTTGCACATGCAAGGTGAGCGCTCTACCGCTGAGCCACCACACCAGCCCCCTAAATTTTATTTTTACCATATATTTTGCTCCTACTTCTGCTTGAAAAATTGTGAATTGTCTAAAATAGATTTTGACCAAAAGCCATTTTTTAAAGACATGTAAGAGAATTTTTTGGATAACGTGATAAAGACTTTTCTTGAAAATAAGGTTATTTTAATCATCTTTCAATTTATTGCTTTTCCCCCCTCCAACTGTTGAAGTCATTTCAGACAGAAAATTTGGATAGAGTGGAGAGACAAATTTTACTGAAGAGTAGTGCTTTCTATTTCACACCTGACTTTTAAAAGATGAACGTGGGTTATTTTACTATCATGAATCATGATTCCATGGAGTGTAATGAATAAACAGCTCATTTTCAGTACTGAATGGATAGTTTCAAAAAGATGACTGATTAAGGAGAATGCTATAATTCTCCCAGGAGTAAACACTGACCTGGGCCAGACCTAGATGGTCTCTTGGACTCTCCAGCTTCTGCTGGGACCTGGGAAGGTGGTCCCCCTCTGCTGGACACCTTTCATTTGTAGGACTGAAGGGGACCGTGATGTAATTTTGGCCATGTTTCCTATGGGAAAAGCAACTGATATCTTTTGAAAAACCAACATTTCAGTGGATTCTCATGGATACGATACTAGAAAAATGCATTTGAAGAAAAAAAAAGGTTTCCTATTTTTTAATGCACCAATGGTGAATTATGAATTTTTAATTATGAATTTATAATTTATTATTTTTCTGGTTTAATGCTTTGGTATCAGAGAAGAAAAATTCATGATTCAAATAGAACCAGTTGAGCTTATGTGATGGTGCATGCCTGTAGTCCTATCCCCTCAGCAAGACTAAGGCAAGTGGTTTTCTAGTTTGAATTGAACCTGAACAACACAGCAAGATCCTGTCTTAAAGAAAAAATAAATAGTAGGCCCTCAGATACACCAGTGGTTCTTTATTCAGAATGGAAGAAAGAGCTTCAAGATAGAGAAGTAACTTTTGAATGGAAAAGGCCATTAAAGGCCCTTTACTTGGCATATATAATTCAGATTCTATCAGGAGACAATTTTATATTACTATGGAACTATTCGTTTAAGCCAAAAGTACCTTGAAAAGCAATGAATACAGATCAGACACACTAGGAATTTAAATATAGCTAGAGAAAGTGTACTTTCCACTCTTGCTCTTCGTTGGTTAGAAGAGTGAATCCTGCCCTCAGGTCTTTAAGATGTGTTTGCGTATAGAAACAGATGAATGAAGGAGCTTGAAGAGAGTTGTAGTTTGAGATTATTTCTTAGAAATTCCCGATTTGTGCTTTATTGCAGCTATGCAGAATGTGCTTTAAAAGGATGAAGCCCAGCGGGCGTGGTGGCGCTCACCTGTAATCCCAGAGGCTGGGGAGGTTGAGGCAGGAGGATATCGAGATCGAGATCGAAGCTAGCTTCAGCAAAGGCGAGGCACTACCAACTCAGTGAGGCCCTGTCTCTAAATAAAATAGGGCTGGGGACAAGGCTCAGTGGTTAAGTGTCCCTGAATTCAATCCTCAGTACCCCCCCCCAAAAAAAGATGAAGCCTATATAGACCTAGAGTGACTGCCACTGCCATTTTTACGTTTTTGACTCATGTTTAGTTTTTATTTTTAACTGTGATACAATACGTGTAGCACAATGTGCTCCGCCATCCATTTCTTCGCGTGCGATCCCTGGGACCAAGCCCCTTGCTCTTCACCTGAGCCTCGCGCCTTGACGGCTGGCCAGTAACCCCTTTTGTCTTGTCTTCTGTTTGCTTCCAGAGCTCCAAGATGGGAGGCAAGCTCAGCAAGAAGAAGAAGGGCTACAATGTGAATGACGAGAAGGCCAAGGACAAAGACAAGAAGGCCGAAGGCACGGGCACCGAAGAGGAGGGGACCCCGAAGGAGAGCGAGCCCCAGGCGGCCGCCGACGCGGCCGAGGCCAAGGAGAGCCAGGAGGAGAAGCCCGACAAGGCGGCGGACGCCGAGGGCAAAGCAGAGGCGCAGGAAGGCGGCGACAAGGCGGCGGCCGCGGCCAAGGAGGAGGCGC